GAGCTGGGAGGGGAAGTGTCTTTCCCGCGGCATCTTTCCCAGGAAAAGGGGATGCCTGTTTCGCTCACTGTGATGTAAATGACGGCAGATCCCGGTCCGCGGTCGGAAATGTTTGCCGTCCTGTAGGCAAACAGGAAGGATTTTCGCGGAGCGGGATCCTTCGGCCGCCCCCACCCGCCTCCTTTGATCTGATGGGCTTTGAAATCCCTTTAGAAATTAGAGACTAATTAGCCCCAAAGCGAGAGTGGCAACAATGCATGACAAAGGCGAAGATTAGCCTTTAAGAAGGCAGTGCAAGAGTAATGGCCAGCCACTTCTAAACGAGCTGTGTGCACAAATCGTGTGCCAAAGAAAATCGATCCGATTCAATCTGGGTGTGTCTAACACTGCCAGGGATTGCCAGGGCCAGGCTGTTTATTTAGAGACAGTCTATAGTGTGGGAGGGTGAAGACTCAGCCCCTAACCTCTTCCAGCCTCCCAAGACAAAAGCAAAACAATCCCCAACGTCCGTCCCCAAGGAAACCTTGATCAAAGAAAGGTATTCAGCGGTGTCGGGTGTACGGGTGTGTTTATATGCATTTCACGGTATTTTGCGCTATGTATCCCGCGTTATCAGGTTGATTCCTCTGTGCACCGCCGGTGACCGGGACGGCTCTGCCAAAGGTGTAACAGCAACCCCTGCCCTGAATGGGACCAGCTTATCCTCGTCTCATGGGCAGGAGGAGTTTCAAAGCAAGTGCTTTGAGATTGCCTGAACCGAAATGAGCTTTACGAAGCAGCCTTTTACTGGAAAGATGTTTGAACTCTAGTTGAAGGGGATTTAGGGGGAATGGAGAGACGATTCCAACAGTTACTACTGGGAATGCAATATCGGGTCCCCTACAATGCTTACTTAGGCTAATGGAGGTCCTGTCATTCAGCTCCCATTGCGCTGGGATACAGGGTAAACATTGCCCGGTGACCCTCTCCGTGCAGGTCCCCTCTTCAGGACATCATTAAAAGCATACATGCACTTGCCTGACATCAATTGTCAGGCTGTCTCTCAGGGTTCAGAGATCCCGACAGAAAGGAGGAAAACAAGCCCAGTGGAGACCCGGCTCTGCGGCTGCGGGCTTTAAAGAGGCTGAAAATCGTTTGGTTGCGGGTGTGTAAGAAGAGACAAAAGTGCTCAGCAGGTAAGAGCGGAGGGTTTTGCCAAGAAGGAACTGTCCTTGATCGCTGTGACAGGATTGACTCGCTGGGGACTCCTCTCTCGGGAGCATCCACGCGTCCCCGAGGGGGCTGCCTGTCTCCTCTCATCAGCATCACGGCGAGAAATTTTACAGCCGCTCTTTCTAGTCCTGCTAATCCTGTTATCCGGGGGGTTATAAATATTAACGCCGCTGGGGCTGGGGATGGGGGACCAGATTAAGCCCTCTCTGAAGTAAGATGTCAGCCAGCCTCTTCCCAGCCCACCAGCGCCCGGGGTTGCTGGATGAGCTGCACGGCAGAGCCCCGCAAGTGCCCTGCCCAGAGGGGTTGCTGGGCGCCTCGGTGCTGGATTTCGTGGGCGACCTCTCCCTGGGCGCTCCCCAGGGCCCCCCCCGGGGCGGGCCCAGCCTGGGGCTCTGCGAGGTCACCTCCGGGACTCTTTTCGGGGACAGAGCCCTGTCGCTCCGGGAGGGGATGGCCCGAGGGCTGCCCCTGGCTGCCTTCGGAGATGGAGATCCCGAAGACGACGAGGAGGAGGAGGAAGAGGAGAGGTTGCGGAGCGCTTCCCTCCTGGACAGACCCAGGAGAAAGCGGGTTATCACCTACGCCCAGCG